TCTGTTTCATATTAAGACATGATTCTTGAAAAGGATGGGGATGGTTATCTAAAAAATAATCTTTATGACAAACGAATGACTTTATCTTTTCAATTGTCAATTTCATTAATTATGCAGAAATATATACCTTTCATTACCTGCATACGGATATTATCTCTCTCAGTTGATTAGGAACGCATGCAAGAGCACGCTCTACTTGTGAATAATTTTTAAAACGAGGTAAGTTATTGACAACCCAAGTTGCTTAAAGATAAATAATGCCCACGAATGAACACGAATTAAATTTGAACAGCGTTCAGTTTAATGAGATTTAGTTTAATCACCTTCCCCGCAGTCACGCATATACCATTTCCTATTTCTAACGCAAAATCACGCATATACCGTCTCCCCACAATCACGCATTTCTCACGCACTTTAAAAAGTACATTTAAAATTTTGGGGCATGTGTAATGGCAAAATTAAGTCAAATGTCACATGTCAGTGGTCAGCTATAAGAACTTGTACTATTTTTGAGTAAAAAACTAAGGGGGATTGTGTTAATCGCTAAAATGTGTGTACAAACACTATGGCATTACATAACGTCAAGTGAATCTTCTGTGTTTTGCAAATGACGTCATAATAGCCTAATTGACGCTCTGACTGTAGAAGTAAAATTTTAATTCGCATTATTTTAATTCGCATTAGCTGTCGTGTGAATGCAATTTAATTCACATTTATTTGATTTGCATTAGTTTACTTCGCATTAATTTACTGCGAATTAAGCTCGTCGTATGAGCAGGGCATTAGTTTTGTTTAAAGTCATCATTTCGCAAGTTCTATGTCGATACAATAACCCTGCCAGCAAATACAATTTATCATCAGGTGAAATACTGACTAACGTTTTCCATATTTACTGTAGAGCCATCATTAACACACTGAACTGTAGACGTATTTTTTCCCGTTTTTTCTCAATCAAGACAAGGAACACACGACGGGTGTGACCGTTTTGTAGGGGATGCTTACTCCTCCATGGCACCTGATCCCACCTCTGATGTTTTGGAGTTCCATGATTGCTCCAGCTCCTATTTTGTATTGTTAAATTGGAGTAGTATAAGGGGCCTAGATAGCCGGGTCAACTGAGTGCACTTTTTATGCAAATGAGGTCAAAAAATGGTGGATTTTGATTGGTTGGGAGGATAAGGGGATCAAGGGAGTGCATCCCCTGGGGGGGATAGGAGGTCAACTGAGTGCAGTCCTAACCCCCTAACCCCTCTAACCCTATCCCTTAACCCTAACAACCTAGCCCTAACTAACCCTAACCTTAACCCTAACCCCCAAACCCTAACCCTAACCCAAATCCCCCCTAACCCTAACCTTAACCCTAACCCTAATTCCTTAGCCCTAACTAACTAACCTAACTAACCCTAACTAACCCTAACCCCCTAGCCCTAACTAACCCTAACCTAACCCTATCCGCTAACCCTAAACCCCTATCCCTAACTAACCCTAACCCTAGCCCCTAACCCTAACCCCTAACCCTAACCTATTCCCTAAATACGGGGCGCTTACACTGTGTGTACATTATACTATACGTTGGTACTACGATTTTTGGCAGCGACTCAAAAGAATGTCATTATGACGTCACGCTTTCATTCACAGTCTAGCCAGCCTAACCAGTTCAAACTGGTTTTACTGAAAACAATAACAAAATAACAAAAGACAGATTAGAACAAGGCAATTTTTATTCAGAATGAAAAAAAATACATCCAATTACATTTTCTTTTTCTTCTGTCCCTCGTCATACCTAAGACGTAAACAAAGGTAGTGACTGTTCCTTCGCCAAGCGCTCGGCACTAGAAGTGAAAGTCACGGGTCTTTCGGATATGACCTTAAAAACGTAGGTCCCGTGTCACGGTAGGCGTTGGCACGATAAAGAACCCTCACTGCTCAATGGCCCTGAGTGCCGAGTATAGGTCTAAATTTGAAGCCCTTCACCGGCATCGGTGACGTCTCCATATGAGTGAAAAATTCTCAAGAGGGACGTTAAACAATATACAATCAATCAATCAATCTTCTGTCCCTTATCACATATCAGGGGTAGTTTCCTCTTGGTTTCCTGAGGTTTTTTTTCTTCAGTTTTTTGTATGTCTTTTACCAATACGTAGCATGGATCCATCTGTTTAATTTTCTTACTCTCTCCTGATCCGCCTGGTCCTTTTTTTTTTCTGGTCAGTGGTTCCCTCCCTCTCATTTTTTGTCTTTCCTGTTAATGACTTTGTGATTGGGGATAATTGGGCACTAATGTAACAAAATCCACTGCTGTTGTAACATTTCAGTTTATCCAACTTATTATCAAGATCACTCACCTTGGTGTTCAATTTATTCACCTTGTTATCAAGATCATTCATCTTGGTGTTCAGTTGATTCATCTTGTTATCCAGACCAGACAGCATGCTAACAATTCCATCCAAAGTTGTATTTAAGATGCTCATATCTTCTTTATTCATGTCTTCAGGAAAATTATACATGTCCAAATTCAAATCCAAATCCACTGCATCCTTTATTAACTCTGTCATGGGAGCTCCTACATATCCTTCAGGTGTTACATAATACTGGGGATTTTCTGAAGTATTCATCATTGCTTCTATTTTTTTCACCTCTGTCCAGTTTTGAAAAATATCAACTAAGACTGATCTTTAAATTTTACAGTTTTTTGCTTTATATACCTGCTGTGGGGCCGTGTGCACCTTTTACCTGGCTTTTTATACCTGTTACATCATCTGTAAGGACCGTGTGCAAAAAAATAGGGCTGTGTGCACGTTTTACCTGCGTTTTCTATACCTGTTGCATCACCTGTAAGGGGGTCGTGTGCAAAAGAAATATACGTTTTACCTACGTTTTATACGAGGGTGGGGTATAAAATGAGAATAAAAAAGTAAAAAAAATTATTTTTACTGTGGCAGGACATAGATGCGATGAAAGAAAAGTATGTATTCAATACGGAATGAAATACCTGGAAATTTCACACAGGTTAAGAAAATCAGTGACTCTTAATACCAAACCTCAAAAATCAAAATCTACGAATTACTAGGCCCCACCGAAGACCAGAGAGGTCCCCCTGGATGCAATGAGTAGCAGATCGAAATACAATTCCGGAGGATTTTTTTTTAAAGAAATAAAAAAAAAATAAAAATCATGTAATACTACATCACTGTTATGTTATTATATGACGTCATCTTTTATACACTCGGGTTCGGGTTTCCCCCTTCAATTTCGCTTTCTCACTGTGGTGGGCGTGTTTACCAAAAGCGATTTTTTTGTTTTAGCCAATCACATTTGATCACGTGATTGGATTGTTGATGTTTTGCCGCGATTGAACTATCGTCTGCTATTGTGTATAAATACAGACCCTCCGAGCATTCAGTATCATTCCTTCGTGGCTGATTTTTTGGATTACAAGAAAAAAAGAAGTGGAAAGAAGAAGAAGAAAGACGGCCCAGCAATTTCAAGAAGTTTATCGCCTTATCCCGGGGATTGCCATCGAGACCTTGGTTATCGTGAGGAGAATCAATACCGGGGAGGAGCTCTCCAGATATAATTTCATGCAAGTACAGGTAAATACTGAGCTAGACTACCATCGTCGGAGGGGACACCCATATACAAGGGTCAGAAGCAGACAAAGAAGAAGACAACCATCGAGATCGCCACCGCCGCCCAGACCTGCTGCTGCTACAACCCCCCAGTTTAGAGCGAGGAACGAGGGCCGCATTCCCACCTGGGGGTTCAGGGTCCCCCAACAGTCCATCCTCTGTACATTATGTTTATCGGAGGGGGAACAAAATAATTTTTGTTGCAGTAGGTGCATCCAGAGACCGGCGTGTCTGCTGTGCACAGCTAGACTCATAGAGGAGAACCTGCCCTGCCCCCTCTGCAGGAACCATAACCGTCTCCTGGTTCCTTTGTCCCGGAGACCTCAGTTTGACCCGCACTCTTCATCTGATGAAGACGACGAATCTTTAGGCCGGATGGTGAAGGAGCTCCTGGCAGCGTAGGCGAGCCACCTGGACTCCCAGTTTGAATCCAAAATTCAAAAAAAAAAAAAAAAAAAAAAAACAACTAAACCAACAAAAATAACAAAAAAGGCCCATTTAAGGGCCGCCCAATTGTTTAGAAAAGATGCCTTCTGTACAGTCATATGAGAAACGTGTTGTGTGTCTTAGAAAAAAAAAAGATGATCTTTTTTTTTCTAAAATACAGTCAAAGAAACGATTGTATCTTACAAAAAAGATGATCTTTTTTCAAAATAATACAGTCAAAGAAACGTTCTGTGTGTTCAAAAAGAGTGCCCTTCTTATATACAGTGGGTAAAACAAAAGAAAAAGAGTACCTTATACAGTCAAAAAAGAAACATTGTGTGTGTTCCTCTCAAGTTATAACACCAGGTCACTTTTTTAAATTTTTATAACTTTTTTTTTTAACATTAACTTTTTTTAAACTTTTAAATTTTTTAACTCTTAAATTTTTTAACTTTTAAATAATAATAATAATAATAACTAGATACGATCTCGTTGCAAGCAACGAGTGGTTCTTCCGTCCGATTCTTGATGAGATGAGATAAGACTTTTGATTGAGATTTTCATTCTTAAATAACGATTTTCCATAATCTTTAAAGAGACATTGAACATTAAATACTTAAAAAATTCGACTTTTGGCCCTTCACGGCCCCTAATAAGAGATCAGCTCTTTTTCTTAATATAATCTTAAAGCTCTCAGGATTATGATCACATTTTGTTCAACAACTATTCAGAGATTCTTTTTCGTTTTTAAGTTATTTGCAAAGGAAATATTTAGGGGCCAACCCTTCAACTCCCTAAATGGGGACATTTAGCGAAAAAATGAATGGTTGCATATTATTCAGAACATGATTTTGAACATCTTTTGTACAATATTACTCATCAAAATATTCCCAACTTTTGAGATCTAAAGCGTCAAAGATCTAGCATTTTGGCCCCTTATGGCCCCTTAATATGTAACATACAAAATCTAAATTATAATATATAGCTGTAGATTGCTGAGATTCACATTTTTGCTTCAGTAATATGTTACAAAATATTGACTGCTAAAGAGTTACCGATTGAAGACTTTTAGCCCCTCTTGACCCCTAATTTGAGTGCCTAACCCTTTTTTCTTGATTTCTTCTTAAAGCTCTTAGGATTTTGAACACCTTTTGTTCAACAACTATACAGAGATTATTTTTCACTTTCGAGTTATTTGCAAAAGAAATATTTAGGGGCCAACCCTTCAACTCCTTAATGGGGACGTTTTGGGAAAAATAAAAGGTTGCATATTGTTTAGAACATGATTTTGAACATCTTTTGTTCAATATTAATTATCAAAATATTTCTCACTTTCGAGATATAAAGCGTCAAAGATTGAGCATTCTGGCCCCCTGTGGCCCCTATTTATGTAACATACGGCATAAAAATCATAATATATAGTTGTAGACTGTTTAGAATAACATTTTTGCTTCGGTAATGTATTACAAAATATTAACTGCTAATGAGTTATCGATTGAAGACTGTTGGCCCCTCATGGCCCCTAATTTGAGTGTCCAGCCCCTTTTTCTGGATTTCATCTTAAAGCTTGTTAGGATTTCGGGCACTTTCTGTTAAATAACTATTCAGAGATTCTTTTTCATTTTCGAATTATTTGCAAAAGAAATATTTAGGGGACAACCCTTTAACTCCCTAATGGGGACGTTTATGAAAAAAATAAAAGGTTGCATATTGTTCAGAACATTATTTTGAACATCTTTTGTTCAATATTACTTATCAAAATATTTCTCACTTTCGAGATATAAAGCGTCAAATATTTAACATTCTGGCCCCTTGTGGCCCCTAATTATGTACCATACGACATAAAAACCATAATATATAGTTGCAAACTGTTAAGATAAACATCTTTGCTTCAGTAATGTATTACTAAATATTGACTACTAAAGAGGTATCGATTGAAGATTTTTGGCCCCTTTCGGCCCCTAATTTGAGGGCCTAGCCCCTTTTTCTTGATTTCATCTTAAAGCTCTTAGGATTTTGAACACTTTTTGTTCAACAAGTATTCAGAGATTCTTTTTCGTTTTAGAATTATTTGCAAAAGAAATATTTAGGGGCCAACCCTTCAACTCCTTAATGGGGAAAAATGAAAGGTTGCATATTGTTCAGAACATGATTTTAAACATCTTTTGCTCAATATTACTTATCAAAATATTTCTCATTTTAGAGATATAAAGCGTCAAAGATTGAGCATTCTGGCCCCTTGTGACCCCTAATTATGTATCATACGGCATAAAAATCATAACATATAGTTGTAGACTGTTTAGAATAACATTTTTGCTTCAGTAATGTATTACAAAATACTGACTGCTAAAGAGTTATCGATTGAAGAGTTTAGGCCCCTTTTGGTCCTTAATTTGATGAGTCAGCACTTTTTTCCTGATATCATATTAAAGATCTTGTCATTTTGCACAAATGATGTTCAGTATGTCTTAACAAAATATTTATACTTTAAAAGATACAATGCAAAATGTCTCAAAAAATCAGTCATGATTCGTGTCCTAATTTTTGACCTCTACCGAGCTTCCATACTAGACACTTCCGGAAAATATCCTGACCCAGGTGCAATATGGCAACATGTCCTCTATCATCCCTGAAAATTTCAGCTTTCTAGCTTGAACCGTTTTTGAGTTCCATCACAGACAAGGAGGTCATCTAAATTTCGATCAAAGGGCGATAACTTCCGACCGGAAGTTATTTTTTTAAAATCGAGTTGCGGGTACAAACTTCAGATAGAAACACATAATCTCTGAAAATTTGAATTAAATCGATCGAGCCATCTCCGAGATATCCTCTGCACAAAATCGGTAAGGAAAAAATAGAAAAAAAAACTAGATACGATCTCGTTGCGAGCAACGAGTGGGTCTTCCGTCCACTTCTTGATGAGATGAGATGAGATTTTAATTGAGATTTTCATTCTAAATTTATGATAAAAATTGTGAAGAAGAACTATTTTGCACCCATCATCTGTAAAAAGACATTGAACATTTAGGATTAAAAATTCTTCTTTTTGGCCCCTCGCGGCCCCTAATATTAGGGTTTAGCCTTTATTTCTTCGTATCATCTTAAAGCTTTCAGGATTTTGATCATTTTTTGTTCAACAACTATTCAGAGATTCGTTTTCGTTTTTGAGTTATTTGCATGAGAAATATTTAGGGGCCAACCCTTCAACTCCCTAATGGGGACGTTAAGCGAAAAATGAAGGTTGCATATTCTTTAGAACATTATTTTGAGCATCTTTTGTTCAATGTTACTTATTAAAATATTTCCCAATTTCGAGACAAAAAGTGTCAAATATTTAGCATTCTGGCCCCTTGTGGCCCCTAATTATGTACCATATGGCAATATTAAAATCCTAATATATGCAGTTGTAGATTTGTTGAGATAAACATATTTGCTTTAGTAATGTATAACAAATTATTAACTCATAAAAAGTTATCCATTGAAGAATTTTGGCCCCTCTTGGCCCCTAATTTGAGTGTCCAGTCCCTTTTTCTTGATCTAATCTTAAAGCTCATATGATTTTGAACACTTTTTGTTCAACAACTATTCA